TTTAGCTTATTTCAAGGGCATACATAAAAGTCAACAAGATTCCTAATAACAATAATGTAACAAGTAACAGTCAAATCTAACCACTCCCTTTCTTTACAATATATATTTTTGCAAAGTAAACCAGTTTTGCTCAGAAAAGAACAGTTTGACTTACGTGATTTAAAATCTCCCTCGTCTGAAAGAAGCCATTTTCTCCCTTTTATTGGTGGCAGTAAGTGAGTAATAAACATGCTATTTCATAGACAGCTCAAATTCACAATCTCCTGTCAAGGTTTTCGAGGTCAGCGGTTGATTGTGAGATATAATGACAGCTACAGCCAAACTTGGATTGAAAAGTCTGAAGGATGAGAACTGGAAACAATAGGGAGGTAAAGTACTGGAGATTTGTACGACACAGATTTTTACTTTTCCACAAACATGTTAATATTAAAGCAGCATGTTACTTCACTGAGTATTATCTGACAGAATATGAAATTATTTAGTATGTAAGTATCTAATTTTAAGTGTGCTGCAGATCCTACCAGCCGGGTCATTTTTTGTTCCACTTATCAGACCCAGTTCTGAAAAAAAAAAAAAAAACTGTCTCAGAAATATTGTCTCCATAAGCTGGCCAGTATCTCTCCATTCAAAAGGCTTTCCTCCAGCTTTAACAAACATTAGGTAATTAATCTTGTATTTTATGTCACTAAAGATGATTACCTTCATTCAGTAAATACAACATATATAACTTTTACCTTATAGCATTAGAATTCAAGAGGGAAAACATTTTATAATCAAAGAAACAAAGATATATTTTAACTCTCAAAAAGCCTTTATATGATTGATAAAGATTGTCCCTAAAACAATAAAGACCACAGTGATGCAAACAAGTACTGTTCCAAATACATGTTATAGAAACTCAGCAGAGGAAGGGCTCCTGAAACTGATGAATGTTCGACTGATATGTTGGTATAAAACTCATAGCAAAAACCACAACATCTTATATCACTTTTTATACCTGATTAATAATCTATTCACCAATGAAAAAAAAACAAAACATAATGGGACCTGAAACAAAGCAATAGCTCATATTAATTGGATTTTAATGATTTAATTCAAGATGCTGTTTCCTCATTTCTACAATGAGATTGAAAAATGTTTTCCAAAAAAGTTTCTTAATTTTGATCAAAATGTTTTCTTTTACATTCTCTAAGAGATGAGTTTGATGTTTACAAAAATAGACATACAATATTAAGAGAGTAAAAACCCTATTTCAGTGGGCTCCAAAAAAATAAAAAATTCAGCTCATGTTAATATCTATCATTTCCTGTTGTTTCAGGCTACTGTTCAACTTGTGGTTTAACAGAAGGAAACATTATTTACTCACTTCTACATAGAGCATCTCAGTTGGTTTGTTATTTTCAACTTAACAGATGTCTGAGTTGCTTTTTGTGGCCAAATAATCCAGAATCAATAAGAAGAATTAACTTATTTTATTGCCCCTTCAACTTCATTTTAGCATTGTTTCTAAAACTTTCTTCTTTTACACAGTTCTTACAGACTCTCATATAATTTGTCTTGATTGGTTTTGAATGTTTATAGCTTGGAATGAAGGCAGAATATTTAACGCATTTAAAGCATGAACACGTTCCAAAATAATTAAAATATTCCTGATATTCAGGGGTTGCAGAATGATGTGATGAGCTCTGTGTCTTTTCAAGGGGGAGGAGTTGATGCAAAATTAGTTCTGCTGCTACCTTTACTTATCTGAGAGACTTAAAGACCTGCAGTAAATCAAAGACAAACACACAGGAGACCATTCAGAGACACATGGCTGCTACAATGATCAGACCTCATGAGGTTTTGATTGCTTTTCTAATCCTAACAGTGAACTGGACTGGTAAGAACAACGGATTCTTCAATAAATGTGTAATGAAATAAATATTCAAATTATTACAGAAACTAAATATCTGTTTATCTGCAGGTACTGATGGTCAAACTCTGACTGAGTCTGAACCAGTGGTTAAAAGACCTGGAGAATCCCACAGACTGACCTGCAAATATTCTGGGTTTAGTAGCACTCCTGCTGTAGCTTGGATCAGACAGGCAGCTGGGAAAGGACTGGAATGGATTGCTTATATCAGCGATGGCAGTGCCAGCATCTACTACTCTGACTCAGTCAGAAACCGTTTCACCATCTCCAGAGAGAACAGTAGAAATCAGGTTTATCTGCAGATGAACAGTCTGACAGCTGGAGATTCTGCTGTTTATTACTGTGCTCGAAGACACAGTGACACAGAAAGCAGGAACGCTGTACAAAAACTCCTCAGTGGATAAGTAGCTATAATAGTAAGCCAACACTAGGGCAGCCCTAACACCTCTTATCACAACAAACACATTTAGATGGAGAAGTCTATGATGTTCTTAGTGCATTCTGAAAATTATAATTAAAGAAATAATTTCCAGATAGTTTAAGGTTCCAACTCTTAAAAAAAAAAAAAAGTTGCTTTTTTAAAACCATTCGGAACAGTTAAACATGAACATTTATACATCTGTCCTCCTGGAGGAGCTAGGATTTTGATCAGTGCAAACAAGGAGCAGAGCTGTACAAAAACCTAAACCTGAGCCGATCATCATTCATCAACCAAAGGAGGCGCTTTTAGACCACAAATGAAGTTTTATAAGGTAAAGCATTGCAATGTCACATTCTCTCTGTAAACTTCAAAGAAACAGTAAAGTGAAGTCATAAAACATAAAATCCAGTAAACTTTCAATATTTCATTAATAATGAATCATTCATTTGAAGATGGACTTCTCTCCACCATATTGACACTGATTCGGAAATAACTCATGTAACTTTTGGTTCAGCAGCTCTTTACTGCTGACTTGTGTTCAGAATCAACATATTTCAAAGCTAAATTTTATCATCATCTCAAAGATACAAATTTGGAGCATGTCCTTGTTAGACACCTTGGATTATTTGGTCAAAGATTACAAAGTTTGTTGTATAATAGAGAAGGATATAGAGACATCACCCTGCTTAATTTTTTCAGATACATCATATTCCAACTGTTAGGGCTGTGGGAAATTCAACCTTTAATGCCAACATAGTTCTCAAGACATGAAAGCAAGATTGTAGGATACACTCTGCCAAATGCTGATGTTAAATATATGAAGAGAAAACCAAAAAGCAGCCAGAAGAACAGATAATTTAAAGCTCTTAAAAGTACAATTTCAGGGCCATGAGGAAACTTAAAATCAGATTGAAATTTCTGTTTAATACAATTTGTCTGCAGATTATTTTCAGTTTGCCCAAAAAACAAATTAGAGATCATTTTTACCAAATAGCAGTTTTGAAATTGGCCTATGTTTGACTTCAGAGTCCAGGGTTGGCTTTTTAAGCAATTGATGAATAATAGTGTGTTTAAAAAGCTTGGGGCACAGTCAGAGGATACAGAATTGATCATTTATAATCCCTAATAAATGAAGCACAATGAAAAACAATAGCATCTTTTAGCAGTTTTGGTGGAAGACAATCAATTGGACAATTAGATACACTTATACATTATTAGTCATTATTGAGAAATACAGGGTGTGTTAATAAATCTCCAGATTGTAATTAGGAATTTATTACGGATTTTTGGGGTTGAGTTGTTGACTGTGGCGGACTGGTCTGGTCTAATATACGGCCAACCTAAGAAAAAACTGTATACCAATCGTTGTCCCATATTCTGCAAGACCAGAGAAGTTTGTTCTTGTTCTTGTGGTGACGCGTCTAAAAGTAATTTTTTTTTTTTTTGCCCTGAGAGACGAAAATGGAAAGCCCAGGAGAAGCTCCGATGCAAAAGTCTTAGAAAGTCCCATCCACTGCACACAAAAGGAAACACATCAACACAATAGCAGATATGTTGAAGAAGAAGAAAAAAGGAGTGAAAATTCACTCAGAATAAAAGGGGGAAAATTTTGTGGCTTTTCCTACTTACCAGGAGCAATCCAAGTCCTGAAAGATCACACAACGGTTCTCATAGAGGCTGGGAGAACCTCCAAAGCAGGCAATGACATAAAATGATGTAATTTATTTTCTGCTGTTAGAGCAAGAAAAGATGACTCACTTCTGGTTGAGTATGTAGGGACCTTTAGCCTAAACATTTGAACGATACCCCAACAGTCCATCCTTTTTGCTCTTTGTTGTTCTACACCCCAGTCTTACAGCTACTCCCCACAGCGGAGGCTGCCATGGACACACAGGCTAGAAAGCAGGGCTACCAATTAGTGCTTTACCAGTTATAGCACATTTAATGCCAAAGTGATAGTTTTAAATGTAGAAAATATATTTATAAAGATAAATGTTTTCAAATTATATTAAGAGTAGATTTTTCAAACGTTATCTACTGTGCCTTTAATGTTTGACTTTGTACAGTAGGTGTTATTTTGACCCTGTGTTAAATAGAAAAATATAAGAAATAAATTCAAAGATTTTTAAAAAGTTCCTTAGATTAAAATTTGTTGAGGTTCCTTGTTGACCTTAAAAAGAAAGTTTATGTGTTTATGGTAGATATACAAATCACAAGCTCTTTCTATTACCTTTCTGGTTACTGTGTTCTTGTTTTTGTTTAATGATAGAGAAGAAAGTAGAGATCCTGCCTCTCAGTCTTCCTCTAAAACAGCTAACACATTTTAAATTTTTGCTCCTGAAAATCTGGGTTCTTATCAAGTGATTCTTTTAAGCATCTATAGTCTAAGGAAGA